AAAAGAAGTTTTGGTAAACATTTTTGCAAAACTGAATTTAGCAACGAAAAATTATGACAAGTTTGCATGCATTATAGGTCTATGGCTGTCTCTATCTGAAGTGGAGCAGCTGCAGCTTAAATTACAGTAGTTACTATAGGTATAAGCTCGTAGTTGTTATTGTTTGTGTGTCTGGCAAGCGACAGTAACGAGCCGCAGGCTCATGCTGCCACACATATATAATCCGCACCTGTTCTATGTACCATAGTATAGTGTATCCATATTTTCATTATATACATATATAATTTGGCCGCATGTTTTGCCAGCTCGTGTTGCCCGCATTGTTGACACAATTCTTGGGTTTTCAGCTATGGCAGCAGGACCGGTCAGCCGCAGCTCTATTAATTTTTGTTAAAGTTTTTCTGGTTTAGTCGACGCCCCAGAGTATGCAACAGCAATTCTGCTTGGAGGCGTATGGATTAGTGGGGTGGCACAAAAGGCCGAGTTGGCCTTTGAATTTATATTTAACTTTTGCTGTGCAAATTTAATGAACGCTGCTGCTTAATTATTCCATTTCAGGCAAGTTTATTCCTACACGCGCGTTTTTATGCCGCAATTGAAATTTTTAATTGGCAAATGCGTGGGCGCGTCCACAATCCACTCACCGTCTCTGGAGTCAGTGGGGTGCGGGTGGAGGCCGCTGTGCGTCGTCTGGCAGCGCTTTGCGGCATTTTAATTACAAGCTCCGGACGCAAACGTGAAACGCTAATGAAATTAAAAAGTCCCTCAAATGGCCTTATAATAAAATAGAGTTGTTGTACATCTACAAAACGCCAAAGATTAAATATGACCGGCTTTTGGGGTTTATGGCAAAACGAGCACCAATCTACCTAATTTTGGCTCAATATTTAATATTAGAGCTACCTGTTAACTCGTACGTGCTGCGGTTGCATGCCAATAACATGTAATTAATTGGCATTTACGTTTTGGCTTTAATACAATTATTTGACCATAATTCTAATTAGTGGCATTTCACACATGCTCATTTAATTTTGTTTCCATGGCCACGCAATTGCCTAACTAGCTATTAACGTTTACTACTTGTATTCGGGCTCACGCTGCGTATACGCAATGTATGATATATTTCTTTGCATGTGAAATTTCAATACTTTTCGCATAGAGTAAAATGCCATAAATATTTTTGATTTAAATTACACACGAATTTCTTTTCAATTTATGGCAAACAAAGCCAATCACTCATATCTGTACACATATGTATATGGAAGAATGCAGGCTCGTATACCAACGTAACTGTCGGGACATTCGAATTTATTACTTTACATTTAATCCGTTTAAGCGAGGGCTAGTCAGAGAGTTCATAATTTCTTATTATTATAAATAATCTTCACACTAAGTACAAAGTTACATAAATACTGTTCATCAGCAGATAGTAACTTTGATTAATATACAAATATAAATACCTTAAATAACAAATAAGTTTGTTAGCTGTATATCAAAATACACATATCTTTACGATTCACCCTTCTATTTCTAAGCCCAGCGAGCGGTAAGCGTTCATAAAATATGCATACGTTTTAGATTTATTTTGTGTATGGCGATTATAATGCAAATTCAAGCACTTTTGACAGCAGTCCAAACATGTTTTCCGAATGAGTTTTTCTGTAGCCAACACAAAAACAGAATATTTATATGTTAAATCTATTTGCTGTTAGGACAACGCAATCACAATGGTTACCACAAAAATAAAAATAAAAAAAAATCATCATAAATAATAAAATCACAACTGACGAGCTGCGGATACGCTGTGGGTATCAAGTTTTATCCGCATCGGCATCCACATCCGCAGCCTCATCGGCATCGACATGGACGCTGGCTCCCTGGGCGCTTACCTAAATCATAACCCGACCAAAGCGTCCAATAAACCCAAACAAATTGACACTCCCGATGCTTGGGGAAATCAGCGACAGCGACAAACACGAAATGGCCGCACGCAGTCGTCGCAGCTCCATCAGAGGGATTAGCACGATATTGCAATATGACAAAGTGGCATTGTATGACATGGCATGGTATGGCAGTCTGGCATATTCTGCAATTATTTTTTATAAATCATGCGCAATGCAATCACAAACCAATTAGCATTAAAGTCGGCTAAAGGAATATGCCCAAATATTTGTACATTAGTGAAACCAAACTTTGCTATTTGTGAAATCAAATTTTCGTCCTAAATGTGGCAGCTCGTTTAATTTGAAAATTGTGCAACTGCCAAATCGATGTACGAAACGGGGAAACTTTTTCAGCACCTGCAATATGGCTATAGGCGCATTACGTATACGTGCCGTTGCACTGGATTGCCTGTCAGAGTTACCTTTCAATCCGCGCACTTCATTAGCGAAATGGCTAGCTTTAAGCAAATTTTATGCATGCTACCCACATTAGAGAACACGCTGTTTGTTGTCCTGAAAGGCAAATGCGTAGCTCCATTAATAATTCATGCAGCGAAATGAAAATGAAAAGCATGTACAAGTTGAAATAAAACAAGTCGTTTAGCCTCAGGTGAGACAATAAAGCATACAATTTTAATGAAGCTAACTCTTAAACAAAGCTGATCAATCAAGCTGAATAGGGACTATAAATGAGATACATAACTAAATATTTAAATTATTTTTATATATATTGTTTTTTTTTTTTTATGCATAGCCAAACTGCCCCAGCAAGGTACTCTGACTAGCTCAAGACCTTCCCAATTGTAGCCTTTAATCCTTTCTACCCCAAAAAACGCATGGCCTTCACAAAGAACTTAAGACTGATAGTCGCCTTGCTGGCAGACCACCACATAGGATGCCTCAGGCACGATAGACCATAGCGGTCCCCACTCCCCTTTTACTTTCCCATTATTGCTTTCATAATTACAATTTATTCGTATTCAATTTCTATTTCACTAGTTAAATACCTGACATATAATATAATGCCCTTGAGTAAATAAAAATCAATTGTCTGTCCTCGATGTTTACCTTAGCGAAAACACATTTCGTTTTACAACACTGCACTTCGCACATAAAAGCTGCAAAGTTCACTAACCACTCTTAAAGCGTATTTAAGTTGCGCTTAAATTGCTTCTGCCAGAGTTAGACCAAAGGGGATAATGCTGGGCATGGTCGGTGGTTGGTGAGTGTCAGTGGGTCAGTGGTGCGGCTCGATCATAAAGTTGCCAATGCAATGCAAACAAATTGAAAATTGCCAGTTACCAATTGCCAGTTGCCAGTTGCAATTATAAACGCGGCCATTTGCCAATAGATACGCCATCAGGTTTGTTGTTGTAATAGTTGTTGTTGCTGTTGTTGTTGTAGTTGGTGCTGCTGCTGTGCTTGTTGTTGTTGTTTTTGTTGTAGCTGCGTAAAAGTTTTTGCTTTCGCTGGCTAACTTGAGGGAACTTGCTACTAAAGCAGAGCACACCAAACTTTGCTAATAGCAGCAAACGTAACGAGTGTGTGTGTGTGTGTGCTGGTTGTATGTGTGTGGGTGTGTGTATGTGGGTGGATGTGTATATCTAAGCAATGCGTGTGTGTTGTTTGTGTGTGAGTTAGCACAGTCAACTCAATGAAGCCAAAACAAATATAGGAAAAAGTTTTCCAATTTTCGATTGCCAATTGTGCAAAAATTTTACGTGCAACTTGCTTGGGGAATACGAGAATACGAGAATGCGAGAAAACGAGAAAGTTTTGTGCCATTTCGATATGTGTATGCCCCAGCATTTTCCCGCTGCCCAACGCTCAGTTCATTTGACTGACAGGACGTCAGTCAACATTGCATTTAACCAAAATTAAAAGTAAAACTAATTATTGAAAATATGTAAAAAAAAATATAATTATAATTACCAGCAGCTAAAAGAAAAAATACTTTTTTATACCTCCATGAGTGAATTACATATCAACTGCCAAGCTTAATTCTGATAAATATATTTCATTTTTTCCGCTTTTAATACATATATTTTTTTGTTTTGTCAGTTTTTTATTCGTTTTCGTATTGTCGGTGCAGGCGCCGGCCTTAACTTTCGCTTTGACGGCAAACTTTTGCTTTTCATGCTACAACTAGCTGGCAGAAGTTTTGCTAACGTAGCGAAGCAAAGTTTTAGCACTTCAAGTGCAAGCGCCACTGCCACACGCTGGCCCGTTGCCTCTCTCTCTCTCTCTCTCTCCCTATGTTTCCGTCTTTTTCACACACAATACTTGCATAAAAGTTGGACCAAGTTTTCACTTGGCTCACATTTGATTTAGTCGCTGCCTTGATGTCCATTTTATTTTGCGACTGATTCTGCAATTATGAACGACCATGTGGCAGTTGGCAAATGCACTCAAGTTGGCTATAAAACAACTAAGGCAACTCATAATGCCCAAGCCGGGTATGCTCGACTAAAGTTGGCCTCTAAAAAGAATTTATAATATATGCTTATCGTTCTGTTGAATTCAATTGAACAGAGCAAAAAAAAAAAGTACATTGCAAAAAGTAAATTTATTATGCAACGCCATAATTTGGAAAAGAACTGTTGAGAAATTGCAAGCAATAATATTGTAGAACTTATCTACTCGTACATAGTTTATATACATACAATGCACTACAGCAAAATATATTTTTAAATATAGTACTTAAAGAATTTAAAAAAATTAAAAATTCTGAAAAGAATTTAAAATATTATTATAAAAAATAACAATATATTCTTAGTAGGGCTTTGAAAATTTTCATTACTTTACAAAATAACATTATTGTCCAAAAATTGAATAGTCTTTAAATAATATTTTCACATTTTCCGCCAATGATAACTTTTTTGATTGTCATTTAATAGCAGTAAAGCTTTCAGAATTCATTTTGATAATAAATATCCACAATAATTACAATATTTTGGAAACACATTTTTCATCCCTTTTTCCGATTGGTTACATGCGAGTTAAACATAAACTTAATCTGCTTTTGCATTAAGTTTATTTAGCATTTCTCACTCTATTGAAATCCGAAATTGATATGCTTGAATAAGCAGATGGACGATTACATAGATATAAAATGGGTACACATGTAAATTTCGTATCAGGTGAGAGATGCATTTTTTTGTCTGCTGGATGTACATATTTGACAGCTTTATCTATCTCTACAGCTACAGGGTATATATATACATATACAAGTAGTTATGCTCATGCTTGTACGAGTGATGTCTGCACTTTAAAGTTGCCATACATAAGTGTTTGTAATACGCTCGTTACATTTATTATGGAGTGCGCTGCTCGACTGCCGAACAATGCAGCTTTCGCCCGTTAGTTGTCTGGGTGGTAAATATAAGGATCACAGTTTTGGCCAGTAACTGCGCAGACTTTGCAGCTGGCATTTGAATGGGGGGCGCACATGACATTCGACACAATTCCCCGGCGCAGAGCACGTTGCCCATAGCAGACTTATCCGGGCAGCAGCAGCAGCACCAACAGAAGCCGGTGGCAACTATCTGTAACTGGAGGCGGGCTGCAGTAAATGCATATTTTATATTTTCATTTCATTGAAACCGACACGTAGCCACATTTACGGTGGTGTGTCTGTGGTGTTCACTATGTTTCCGGTTGTTGTTGTTGGTCTGCCACGCCGGCAATCGAGTAAAGTGTAAATTCGCATTGAAGTTGCCTGCCAGCTAATAAGATCCAATATCCAATGTATATGTCCTTTGACTGGCATAATACTGTTCAATTTTAATTAAGTTAGAGATTTCAACAGAAGCGACACTTGATTGCCGGCGGACAGTTTTTAATTGCATGTTGACATACTTTCGTTCAAGTTGATGATTTCCATATTGAAACTTTTCGAAGAGCAGCTCCAAAAACTCTGTCGCTCCTCTTAAATGCATTTTAACCAAAGTGCACATAACGTTCACCCGGCTCGCCTCCCCTGTAGACTTAAAATAAACGTTTATTTTCAGTAGCTGAACATTTAAGGCATATGCATACACATATATTAACACTTATATATATATATATATATATATATATATATATATATATAGAAGTATATGTATGGGAGTGGTGTGGTTTTTATGCCCACACGGCGGCTGTGCAATAAAATTGCACTAGTCGTGGCTTATCAAACGAGCAGCATTGAGTTTGCCTTATGATGCCCTCGAGAAGTCGCCAAAAAGTGTGCAGCTAAAGTTTATATTTACGCTTCGCCCGTCACTGAAATATTGCACTTTATATATCATCTGGGATATCTAGAGCATAAAAAAAGTAAATAAATAAAAACAAGCACATTCTATCGAGTGTTAGTATACCCTATGTGCTATGCTTCAACTTTAAGCTGGCTTTTAACTGAGTTTATATTTAGCTTTCATTAAATCAATGAAATATATCTGTTATTGCATTTAAGGAAGACCTCTAATGTAATAAATATATTGCAGAAATATATTTGCTTAATATTAAGTATTATTTCTGAATTAGAATACATTTACAAATTTTGATATTCAAAATTTTTAATGAGCTACCGTTATATTATAAAAAAAAAATTCACAAATAAAATTCTGTTTTCATTAGTTTTTCAAAGCCAAATGTCATAAATTTAATCAAACCTGATCTGATTTATTTTTTTCCCTTCTTAAATTTTTGATGCAAATGACGAAAATAAAAATTCAATTTGGTTTTAAGATGTCGCTCCAGAATAAGAGTATTGGACTATACATATAGAAATAGATACTATACCCTTTACTTTAGGCAACGAAATGAGCCGCTATTCGAACCAGGGCAAGTATCTTGCCAACTAGTTACATACAAAACACAAAAGAATGGCGCACACTTTTGACTGCCCTGCACTCCTTCCGTGCCTTGCTACCCCCATCTGTGCAGCCAGATCGTGCTTACCCATTCCGCATGGTGGTCGCATTTGTCTACACCGCAAAAGTGCCTCGGTCCGGGTTTGATATCTGCACGTTGCTGTTGCTCGATTTTTGCTGATTTGCTTTTTGCTAGCTTCTACGAGTATTTGGTTTATTGTTTAGACGACAAATTGCAAGGATTCCGTTTTGTTTCACTGCGCTGCATCCGTGTACGTGTCCTGTACGTCCAAAGTGCCTGATTAAACTCTGGTAGCCAGAGTTCGCTACCATTGTCAATTTGCGGAGTAAAAAAAGAATTCGATTTCTGTAACGATGACATACTATATCCCTTTCAAAGTCTACAGAATGCAAATGGGGTAAATTTTATATGTCATGGTAGTTAGCTCAGTTAGTTGACATGTTTGTTGAACGTGAGTCTTTCTCGCTCGGAATCAAAGCATTTTTAAAAATTATCCTTTTTTATAGTAAAGACTTGACAGTATGAGGGAGGGAGTGTGAGCGTGAGAGAGATAGAGTGAGGAGAGAGAGGCGAAATATGTTCTAAGAAATCTATAAATATAAATAAATTTACTATGCAGTATTTATGTATGTATTTGCGTATGCACTACAACTACTAAATATATGTTTGTATGTAGGTAAGTATGTTTGTATGTATGTATTATGTATGAATGCATGTTTATATAAAAGAATTTATTTATGTTTGCATGTAAATATGCATGGTTGTATTTATGTATACATTATGTATGCATTTATATATGTAAATGAATATATGCATATATTTTGTATGTTTATGTGCAAGACCACGTTTACCTTTAGATGCGCAGTAAATTTAAAAACAATTTAATTTAAAAAAAATTTAAAAATAATTTATTTAACTAATGCTCTACTACGCGATTCTCATTAAATCTCATAAGCTTCACTACAATTGGAGAAGGAGACGGCTTTGATATTGGGGGAGACAGCTTCAACTATAGAGAAGGCGGCGGCTTTAATATAAGAGGAGGCGGCTTCAGCAGTAAAGGAGGTGGCAGCTTAAGCAATGGAGGAGACGAAGGCTTTAATATTATAGGCTTCAACTATGGAGGAGGGTTTAGTTTCAGCAATGAAGGAGGAGGTGGATTGAGCAAAGGTGGCGGAGACTGCTTGAATATATATATCCTATTTAGATAATCTCAATGTCCGTTTTATGTTTTAGCTTGCACTCAGTTGTAGCAATGCAATTCGATTAGCTGGTATTTGATCACCTAATCAACAGCTGGTCAGAGCTAATTTACCACTTTATTTGCCTAAATTGTGCACCCAAGTCACGTTATTGTTGCCAGCCACATTAGTGGACTTGCAACTAATTCAATTTGTTTCCACTGAGCTGGCTGCTGCTGCCGTCGAGGGGCTTTTAATAAAGCTCAAGCTAATTTTAGAAAAATGTCCCAAATTAGTAAAGAAATTTTCAGATCGAAAAGTTAGACCTTAAGTGTTGCACTTAAGTAATAATGCTGAAGTCCGAAAACAAAAATTTTGAAAGTTTTTGGCACGTAATTTGCATAAGAGTTTGGTATGTGTTCAGTAAACTAAGTGCAAATATCTATATGAGCTTCATACGATGCACAAACAGTTGCCACATTTGCGCTGCATTAAAAACGCATTTTCATCTTCTTCGTCAGCAGGTTTAATAGTCTGTGCAACAATGTGCATGGCGCTTGCTTGCGGTCCTGAACACAGGAGCAAATTCAAAAGGAGGGGCCCAAATGTGTACAGTTTCAGACAGAGATGCTCATATATTTATTTACTATTACTATTACCAATTACAAAGATGTCAAATAATACAAACTTTTTGGGTTTCTCAAAGCTCATTACAGCAAGCCTTGAAAATTGTTTCTGGCCTAATTAAATTTAGATATCAGAAATTGCCCATAACTAAAAACACCCAAAAATGAAACAAAAACCGCAATCAGTGCACCAACTATCCCCTAATAAGTCACTAAGCAGTTGTCGCGAATCAAGTAAACGGAAGAGGATTATCCCAACCAGCTCCTTGTCCAATGGCAGCCGAAAGACAGAGAGCAAGGCCGGTAAGTACTTGTATCCACCAGTGCTCAACTGCTTAACAAGTAGAAGGTTGCAGAAATAAAACCAGCTGAGCTTCAGGCGACAGAAGTTCAGCCAATAGAGCCTCCACCCCCAAAACGATCATGCCGCAGAACTTCCCAAATTGCGAAGACGTCTTCGAACAACCCCAAAATCGATTTACCTGACCAGCAGCCGAGGAATAAATCTGGTAAGTACTTGTATTTATCTGTGTCCATATTGGATTAACCGAAAACTTTAGAACCTCAACCACCGAAGCTTTAATCGTCGAATGTTCTGCCATCAGATCCGCCACCGCTAAAACGATCATGTCGAATAAAATCGCACCCTACGAAGACATCATCAAACAACACTAAAAACCTTAAGAACGATGACAAAGACGATTCAACCTATCAGCTACCGGGGAATAAAGCCGGTAGGTAGTTTTTTCCGTCTTTGCCCGAATTGGTACCAACCGCCAGAGCTTTAATCCTCAGGAGGTCAGCCACTACAGCCTCCACCACTAAAAAGATCATACCGCAGAATAACGAAGAAGTCTTTAAACGAGACTCATAACCTTGGGAACGATAACAACCAAAAGAAAAAACACGTATCCAAAGGCGATTCAGCTGATCAACAGGCGGGGGATAAAGCCGGTAAGTACTAGAAGCTATCTTTGTCCGAATAAGTTCTAACCGGAAACTTTAGGACCTAAGCCGCCGAAGCTTCGATCGTCACATGTTCAGCCACTAGAACCGCCACCACCAAAACGATCATGTCGCAGAACTTCTCACCTTACGAAGACGTCGTCGACCAACACCAAGAGCCTTCAGAACGATGGCAATCAAAATAAAAAGTGCAAATCCAAAGACGATTCAACTGATCAGCTACCCGGGAAAAAAGTCGGTAGGTAGTATTATCAATCTTTGTCCGATTTAGTACCAACCGCCAGAGATTCCATCGTCAGTAGCTCAGCCACATCCTCCGCCACCAAAACGATCATGTCGCAGAACTGCGCACCTTACGAAGACGTCTTCGACCAACACCCAGAGCCTTCGTAACGATGATAGCGTAAAGACAAAGCATGAATGCAAAGCTGATCAGCAGCCGGGGAACAAAACCGGTAGGTACTTCTATTTATCTTTAACCAAATAAGTATCAACCGGCAACTTTAGAAGCTCCACCACCAAAACGATCATATCGCAGAATATCGCATCTTACGAAAAAGTCTTCTAACAACACTGAAAAGAAAAGGTACGAATCCAAAGACGATTCAGCTGATCATCAGCCAGAGAAAAAAGCCGGTAAGTACTTGCATCAATCTTCGTCCGAATGAGTACTCAGAGGAAGCTTCAGGACCTCAAGGACAGCATCAGTCGTTAGAAGTTCAAGCAGCAAAACAATCTAATCGAAAAACAGCGCAGCTTATGAAGACGTCTTCGTACGACACTAAAAGCCTTCATAACGATGAAAATAAAAAACAAAGGAGTGAGACCATAGACGTTTCAACTGCTCGTCAGTTGAGGAATAAGACCAGCAAGTACATGTATCTAGATTTGTGCGAATAATTATCAATGGGAAGATTTCAGGATCTCAACCGCCAGAGCATGAATCGTCAAAAGTGCAAGCCCCAGAAGTTCAAACACAAACAGGTTCATATCATAGATCATCGCAGCTGACGTCAACGTCTTCGTCCGATAGTAAAATCATTCAGAAGGATGATAACCAACAGAAAAGGTTTGATACAATAGAAGTTTCGACTGTCCACCAGTTGCGGGATTTAGCTGGTATATCTTCTATCTATTCTTGTCCGACTAAGTACCAACCGGAAATTTTAGGACCTCAACCACCAAGGCATCAGTCGCCAAAAGTTCATCCACCAGAAGTTCAAACACCAAATTGGGCATATCGCAAATCATCGCAGTTGACGTCGTCTTTACATGACAGTAAGAGCGCTCAGAAAGATGATAACCGAAAAAAAAGGCGTGAAACCTTAGACGTTTCAACAGCCCAGCAGCCGAGGAATAAGGCCGGTAAGTATATATATATGGCTTTGTGTGAATAAGTAATAACAGGAAGATTTCAGGATCTCAACAACTTGGAGTTCAGACGCCAGGAGCTAAATCACCGAAAGTTCAAACACCAAAACGCTTATATCGCAGATCATCGCAGTCGACGTCGACGTCGTTGTACGACACTAAAAGCGACCAAAAGGATGATAGCCAAAAAAAGAGGCGTGAAACCATAGACATTTCAACTGCTCAGCAGCCGTGTAATAACATTGGTAAGAACCTGATTTTACCTTAATCCGAGTAACTGCCAGATCTTTAATCTCTAGGAGCTCCCCAAAATCTTCCAAATCGCAGACCATCACAGTATACTCCGATGACGCTGTACAAGTCTCCAAACCTTCAAAACGATAACAACCGAAGCCAAAGCCACGAATCCGTAGACTTGTCAGCTGATCATCAGCCGGGAATGAATGCCGGTCAGTAACTGTTCTGTCTTTGCCAGACTAAGTAAAAACAGCGAAGGCTTTAATATCTAGGAATAAATCAAACGTCAAAACTTCCATCGCATGGACTTCAACCCAAAGTGCGCCCACATCGCAGAACATCGCAGTATACTCCCACTTCGTTATACGAGAACGAACGCTTTGAATACAATGACAACCGAAAGCAAAGGCGCGAATCCATAGACGTTTCCAATGTTCAACATTCGGGAAGTACTGCCGGTGAGTCCTATTTTTTCATTCGTCAGATTAAGTAACAACAAGAGGATTGCAGGACCCAAACCACCGGGGCTTCAGCCTCTAGGAGTTCAAACGCCAGTACTTCAACCCCTTACTCGTTCATATCGCAGACCATCGCTGTATCTGCCGACGTCACACCTTGGGGACCAAAACCTTCAAAACAGTGAAAGCCGCAAATCCATTGACAATTCCACTGTTAATCATCCGGAAAATATAGCCGGTGAGTGCTTGCGTCACCTTCGTGAGAATAAATTCCTGTTATGTGGATTCCAGGAACAGAATCGGAAGGGCTTCAACCAATAGGAGCTCAAATGCCAGGACTTCAAACACCAAGTCGCCCATGTCGCAGACTTTCGCAGTATACGCCGATGCCGCTGAATGAGGATCAAAACCCTCAAAACGATATCAACCAGCAGCAATGGCGTGAATCCAAAGACTTTACCAAGGTTCATCATCCGGAAACTATTGCCAGTGAGTATTTGTTCAATCTAACACAGAATAAGTCAAATAGGAATATGCAGGGCCGCAACCACCAAGTCTTCAAACTCTTGGAGCTCAAGCGCCATTACTTCAAGGTCCAACTCGTCCATATCGCAGATCATCGCTGTATTTGCCAACGTCACAGCTAGAGGATCAAAGCCCACAAAACAACAACACAAACAGCGAATCGATTGTCTATTCCACTATTAATCAGCCGGAAAATATAACCGGTGAGTACTTGTTTCACCTTAGCCAGAATAAATTCCACTAATTGAATTGCAGGAACCCAACCGCAAGGTCATCAACACCTAGGATCTCAAATGCTAGGACTTCAAACACCAATTCGCCCATGTCGCAGGCCTTCGCAGTATACGCCGACGCCGCTGTATAAGAATCAAGTTCTTCAAATCGATATCAACCATCAGGAAAAAAGTGGTTCCATAGACTTTTCCACTGCTCACCACCCGGAAAATATAGGCGGTAAGTTGTTGGCCTACCTTTGCCAGAATAAGGTGCAACATGAATATTGCAGTACCCAAACCGTTTCAATCTGTAGGAGTTCAGTCGGGGAATTCCGTCAGTCCAGGACCTCAACTTTCAGAACTTCAACCCCCAAAACTTCCATATCGCAGACCATCCCAGTTCACCCCGACGTCGCCATATGAGCCTAAAGGCTTTCGAAACGAGGACAATCGAAAGGAAAAGTGCGAACTAATCGACTTGACTGGTGCTCAACAGCCCGAAAATAAGACGGGTAAGTAATTTATCTACCTCACTCTGTAAATAAATAAAAAACAAAATTAAGGACCCGAACCACCGGGCCATCAAACACCGAGACGTCCATATCGCCCACAAATGCAGTCCGTATCGGCGTCGGATTTGCAGTCTAAATTTCTTCTATACATACGGGATTTGAGTTCAGAGATTGTCCACCACCAGGTCTTCGAGCATTTCTGCGCCTTCGGCAGTTTGCAACGCGTCTACGTACTGCAACGCACCGAGAACTACAATTACGCGCTAATAATCTTCACATCCGCAAAGTCCGTAGAACTAGCTGTGGCCGCTAATCCACACAAACTACGTAACAAACCCTATATTTGCCACAAGGCTGGACCCTGGAACCTTGGTTGCTTCAAAAGCGAGAGGCGTATATCTGACTTCAGCAATAGCAAAAGGTCCATCTTCAGAGATCGATTGACAATTAGGCTGCCTTATGGCGTTAATATTCATTGCTATATTTACCTATCAAACTCTAGCATGAATCAGTCTAACAACAGCACTGAGCAGGAAATGAGCAAGAGATCAGCCTTGCTGCCCCAAGTATCTGTAGACCTGTTACATCATCTACGCGAGCAGCAGGCACCACTGCAGCCTAGCATCAAGCAAGCACCTCTTGACCTTGATCCCGAAACGCTCTTCCCCAGCATGGGTGACAACTACAGTTTCCAGCGTCACAGTTATACGAATTTTGTGGCCTATCAAAAGCGACCTGGCCACTACGAAGCGGTGCCAACCAACGCCAAAGTTGGACTGACGGCCATCGCCTATGCAGATCTGAGAGATAAACGTGATTTAATATCATTTTTTTATCAGACCGACTAACTAAAATAAATAGCATTTGACAAAAGTTTAAGCTTGACTGCATATATAGAGTTGGTCAAGAAGTCCTACCCCTTGTAAATAGGTAGAAATACGGTTGTTATAGATGAGTGCAAATGTATCTAACAGAAAAAGAATAACACTCCCAACCTCATGAAGTATAAATATTTTTGATAGAAATAATCTCGTCTCGACTCTCTCTCTCTCTCTCTTTCTGTGGGTCTACTTAAAGTCATCGATATCAGAGAGAATAAGAAGCAGATGTGGAATATAGATTCTACTAAAAATAGCATATCTCTGATTAAATTTAAATTTAGTATTTAGATATTCGCAGCGAAAATACTCTTTTTTTTTATTATATGTTTATATTTTACGCTGGAATCGATCAGTGCCTTCTGATCTCTACCAAGCGAATAACTAAGGGAAGAATGTATAGTTACTAGTATGTAACCTATATGATATTAACAATGAAGTTTTTTACAATGATGGGGAAGGAGATGTTTAAATAATACGCCTCGTAGGTAGGTCGTCGGGGTGTATCCTTCGGATGCGCCTCTCTCTCTGATGGGGTCAGCCGGGACCCTGGCTGCTAAAGAAGTTTAACTAAGCTCCGACCTTTGTTAGACGGAGATCGCGTTCGCTAGCAAATACTCAGGTCAAATATATTTTAAATTTTAGATGCGTTTCCCTTTTTGGCCGTGGTTTTTACACATATCAAACTTTTATATTTTATTTGCTTAAGAAGTTCGTTGCCAAGCGAGCATTCCTAAAATTTTGGATACAATATTTTTGTAATGCAGCAATCAAATGGATTGGGCCCATTCGGTCTGCTCCGCTCCTGTGCTTATGTGGGGCTTATGTATTTGTGTAATGCTGATGGGGCTCGTTTGCCGTGCTGGCAAGTGAAACCATATAATTTGAGCATCATGTAGATGCACTTATCAGTGCGATGCTGCACTTGGCAAGCAAAGGCACTGCAATAGATAAACATCAGAAGGTAGTGGGAACTGCATTATACTGTGGCAAAAGCATTTCTGGGCACGAACGGTGCAGTATCAAGGCGTGTTGGAGCAAGTGCAGCATTCGATATGGCACTTGCATACTTATGGCATCATCTCCATTGCAGCATTGCTTATTAAAACAACCAATCGCTGCTCTTATGCTTTGTGGCCGCTGCACGCCCTAAGCGCGGGTATATCGTAAGTAGTGTGTGATTTTTGCAGTTAAGCCATTCACTTTGATTGCTTTTGGACAACGCGTCGTATGATTGTTTTTGCTGCACTTGCTGGGATTAGGGACTAGGGCGGCACTAAAGCACCGAAGCACTCAAGTGGAGCGTGCGAGTCGGATTGGACGTGGCAAAATTGATTTGTGCACGTGTGCAGTTAGCTAATGAGCCGAGCAGAGCATTGCCCCAGGGTACGCTATAGAACAACGCAGCTGCATACAGAACGCGTCACAAGACATTGCACAATTGCCGCTGAAATGGGAGCACTTGCAGCTAGAATCTGGTAGCTGACAGCTGAGAGCGTACACAGGACAACTGACAGGATGGCATCAGCTGTTTGCACGGTTCGCTTAATTAACAACATAACAATTTGAACATACACACATCCACACGAGCATGGCGGCAAGAGAAGTAAGCTTATTGTGAACATGTCACACCATTAGGCTTGTAACGCAAGGCTAATGACTAACTAGAAGACGACGGAGCTCCAAAGGAGGTAGTTTGATAGACAGACAGGAGATGAAGTTTCTAATAATTTAATTAAAAGATTTATTATGCTACAGCTTAGCTTGGAAAGCACTTGAAAGCTTAAAGCTTACAGCTTTATTTACTGAATATTTCTTGATTCATTTGCAGTTGACCCTTTTTCATTTGGTGCAGATTTTTTGGTTAAGAGCACAGCTTCTGGCAAGCTTAATTTTTGCAATTGAAAACAATTGATTTGACTTAAAGCCTTACAAATTATGATACTTTCAAAAAAATTATCTCAGATAAAATTCTACATAAAACTAATTCTGTAGCTTTATGGCTTGTTTTGGCAATGCTGATTTATACATTGAATGCAAATAACCCTATTAAAGCTTAATCGTTGTCAAATCGACTCTTTCTTTTAAATGTATTTTTCATATGGATTCCGGGACAATGCAGCTGCTGTCATTATGTCCTGATGGTCTGGGCTCGCCTTGGTCAACGTCAAACGGTGCAGTCGTGCATCACAAATTGCTGTCAACAAAGTTAGTCAGCCTGCGGCCAGTCAATACTGGGCTAGGCAGGACATCCGGTCCGCTAGTCGCTAGTGGACGCGCCCAGGATGTGCCGCTTAATGTGTTTGCCAAAGCCAAAGACATTCACGCAGTCATCAGACACATCCTTACATCCTAGCAAGTTTGTCTCTGTGTGTGTGTGTGTTTGTCATGGTTGGAAAGTGTTTTGGGAAATCAGCGACAAATCGAAAACGAAATGAGTTTCTGTTAAATGTTAAATCACCAGCGTAAGCATTGCTCTGATTACTCATTTGGGAGCGCTGAAATCGAAAATCAGAGAAACAAAATATCTCGATAATAGTTCCGCACTTGAAGCTGAACGGGGAAAAACTTAAAGAATTCTTCTATTAACAGCAACGAGCTACAAATTAAGAATAAATATTTAATGCAAAATGTTTGCAATTTTACAAGTCACAGCGTCGACTCATGCAAAATGCCAGTCCCAATGCTGCATGGGTCCGTAAAGGGATACCAAAGAGATTTACAAATTTGCCAAAATTGCTAAGATTTATAGTGGCCAAAAGCGAGTGGGTCTCACAGCGTTTACAGTGCGTGCTGTTTGGAAAAGTTTTTTGGCAACATTTCAGCGGAATTTTCCCTTATTTTGCCAACTGAACAGTGGAAATTAGCAGCTGCTGTGGCAGAAACAAAAGTAACTATGTGTATTTTTTTCCAAGGCTACCTGCTTAAAGTTGAAAACATATTTTGTTGTTGTGGCAGGCATCAGCTAATCTGTTAATTTATGTTAAAAAGTTCAGGAAGTTTTGAAGCGCTTAGCAAACAAAATGCAATAAACTATTAAGAATATTCAAACACTGCAAACAGATAGAGATGGACAGGGGGCGAAAGAGATAGAGACAGTGCAATAAACCGTTTACAGTTTTTGTGCATTTCATTAATTTATGTTTGTTTGTAAACTTAATGTATATATATGTGTGTGTGTGTCTCTGTGTGTGTTTGTTTTTCAGTGTTATTTGATTTCAACACTTGGCTGCAACAATAGAACAAACTTGAGCCAGCCAAAAGGCAAAAGTCACACGAAAAAGATAAACATGCTCAACAACCACCCAAACCACCCACCACCCACCAAGCCACCCAACCACCCAAATATCCACTCCTAGCAACTCATAGTCCCAGCTCCACGTCCCTGAAACGTGCTCAAGTCTAAAGTGGCTAACGAAAAGTTAAAATGTTCTTATGCATAAGTGATGCGACGTCACATTCTTTTCATGGACTTACTCGCTTGCTCTGACTTCGGCTTTCATGCTGGTCCTGGCTCTTGTCCTGTTCCTGGCGACAAAGCGCTCACGAACTGTCCGCATTGCAGTTGTTTCTTTCCATGCCCGTTTTCCTCCAGCCCCGTTCTTTTTTGGCTGCGGCATGAAAACTTAATGCCGTAATTAACTGTTTGCATTTGCGCTTAAAGGCCGCGACAGCAAATTAAACGGCTCGCATATCGCGTATACGCCGCGTGTGGCTTAAGCCGCAACTTCCACGACAACGAATCGCACTCGCAATCGCATGACCCACTTGGGGCAGCATCTCACGCGCCCTCTTGGACCCGGTCTCGCCATTTAAATTTGCGCTTAAAGCCAAACCAAACCAAAACGTAAAGTGAACCGTTAACTTTTCTCTCATTTTTTTTAACATTATCAACACAAATCGGAAGTGCCGTGACATAAACTTCCGCTGACTGCGCACAATCGAAAACAAAGCAAGGCGATCAACTGCATCGCTATTCGACCAGAATATACCCTAATAGAGGAGCTATAAGACTTAGGTGTTCACAAGTTTGTGTGTTGAAATAAGGCGTTATTATTTTTATTTTATCGTAAATTATTGGCCAAGAGGCCGAGAAGTACAATCCTTGCAACTTGTTTATCGCTTAACTTACACTTGCACCTGTATATATAATTCAAATATAGCATATATGTGCTAGGTTGTATATTTAAATTTATTATAATACAAGCATTTCCTGTCCGACTTTACCCGGCTAAAGTAGGTAAAATTCTTTACAACTGCGCCCTCTCCGACTCCATCACATCACATTCAATTCTTGGTTAAACAAATTCTTCGTTAATCTAATTCAAGCAATAATTTTCACTGATCTCAATGTTACATATATAGAAGAAATTACCCGGCGTCGCCTGGGTCAAATTTATAAAGTTGGCAATCCAATTGTTATACGATTATGGACACCACGCGTCTACACATTCACAAATTAATTTGTCTTCATATAAATTGCCTACATTTTTTTTATATATAAAAATAAAATAAATTAAATACCTTAACGCATATTTTCTAATTTCAAATTTGAAGAAAAATAAGTAATCTGTCTTCTCGGGAGCTCGAACCCTAAACATTTACATATTCATTTTCCTTCCTATAAATTGTCTGTATTCCATTGCACAAACAAAATATTTTCTAATTTAAACTTGGAAGTAAAAAGTATGCCGTCTTCTCGGAATCTTATTCTATTCTTAAGTGCACAAAAAAACCAAATTTCTGTTAAGATTTCTGTTTAAATTTATTAAACATAAACCAATATTTTCTTATTACGGTATTCTGTCTTTTCGGGGGCTCGAACTCTAAGCTTCATGCCCAGTGTGCAAACGCTGAGGCCTTTGCTAAACCTTGCTTTACACTTGTCTTTAGTTGCACATACATATTAGTAATATGTTGTAAAGCTTTATTTTATAATAATATGATACTTATTATGTATAGTTGATTTAGTAATAACATCATCCACATTCTAGAGTTTGAGCCCTGCAGTTACTTATTAAAAACTCACATGTTTTATGTTGCCCGTTTCTTTAGCTATTGCCAAACTGTGTTAACTTTTTGTGGCACATATCCGCGTGTCATAACGAGGCAACCAAATCGAGTGCCACTGGCATTTCGACTACCAACTGTACAGGAAATGGCTGTAAAAACGTTTGAGTTCGAATTTCCCTCCTCATACAAATTAACTTTGATGACTTTGCGCAAACAGCAAGTTACAGGCGCGATTTCATTTCCGCCGCTTTAACGCGATTAAAAACGCTGAAATTGAAATATTTTGCACAGTTTTGGGACAAGGTCTTGTTCACTCTCCATTCTGGCCAACTTAATGAAATTGTCAATTGCAATTAGTGCGCATAATGCACTTTTTGGATACAGCCATGTTTCATGCTTGCCCCCTCTAAATGTCTGTCAATCTGTCACGCAGTCAGTTCCCCCCAACTGGCAACTGGCAACTGGCAACTGGCAACTGGCAACTGGCGCACTTACATGCCCTAAGCAGTTGTATGCAAGTGTTCAAGGACTCGCCAGCAGCCTTAGCCGGGCTAGGCTACTCAAGTGTGCGGCACACTTGCTGCAGTTGCAGGTTTACAGACTGCGTCGTCTTAAGAGTCCTTTAAATGAGTGACGATACTTTAGTTTGGAAAATAAACACATATCGTGCCTTTATAATGGTTAAGTGTTTTGATTGGCTGCAAATTAAATACAAATATAAAGAACAATTTTCAATTGAAAATTTGTACCTTTAACTAAACCGTTAATCGAATTAGTTGGATAAAAAAACAGCTTAACCCAAGCCTGAACAATATTTTTCAAGCTTTAATGCTTAGATCTGTTTTTACAACTATTTTTAGATTTGTTACTGCTTTGAAAATAGACCCAGAAATAAATATACTTGATGAACTTTCAAGATAAAAAATATAATTGGCTCAATTGCTTTCTTCAATAATTATAATATATGATGAATTACGACTCGAACCAAAACCTGGATTTATAGATGTAAAAAACCTAGTTCCATCTGAAATTTGTGTATAGCTGGCACACATAATCTTAAGCCCACAACTCTCAGCTCAATCTTGACTACAAACAAGTTGAACAATAAGAAATTTAAATTGAATATTAAGTATAAAATTTATTAAATTTCATTTAACAACAATCAGTCGGAGATTTCAGTATTTAACTATATTGCGTATTTAGGTAAGGGGGGAGAGTTCACCCGGAGGTACTTTGGTCCATTATGTTGCCTGATGCGTGCATAGATTAGTTCGCACATTTATTTGCCCTGGCAGCACTTGGTGGGCGCTTTGCCGGCGCATTGGCATTGCTGGTTTCCGGCGCAGTTGCCGCCGCATTTGCCGGAAGTGCACTGGCAGTCTATAGGCAGGATTTCACTCATTAATATAATCGAATAATTGAACTATTTTATAAACGTTACTCACTATTTCCGCATCCTTTGCAAGGCATCTTTAGTTAATTTTTTATTTAGATCTTTATTAAACAACTTCTAAGCTCAGCAATTGCTGTTTGTTTTGTATTGCTAAAAACTTGTCCAACATCACTTTTTATACCCCTTCGGCAGGGAGCTGATAAGATATAAAAGCCGTGTGCAGCTGTGTTCGTAAGGCGTGCGCAAAACTTATTGCGCTGATAAAACGCCGGCTACGCAATTTTGCGCACGCCTTGATAAGCCAGCCAATGCTTATGCTTAATACTATTTAATTGATTACAATTTGTTAAGCTGCGCCCCCCGAATGGTGTGCAAAAGACCCTATAAAATCCCAGCGCTGCTGAGTCAGTGGCAAAGTCAGCGAGTAAACATCGTGCTAAACACACTTCTAAACAAAGTTCATATTAAAAATATATAAACAAAACATAAAATGGGTTGCAAGGCTTGTGGAACCAGTGAGTATAAATACAGACCGCACACCAGAGTTTGTACATTATAAATTCAATTGGTAACTTGCCACACAGACTGCCAGTGCTCGGCCACCAAGTGCGGCGACAACTGCGCCTGCAGTCAGCAATGCAACTGCGCCTGCAAGAATGGACCCAAGGACAAGTGCTGTGCCAACAAGAATTGATTGAATACAAATTATACAAAAATATAAATTAATATTCGGCTGCAGACTAATGAGAACAATAATAAACAAGAAAATAATACTTTAACTAGCTTGACTTTGTTATTTTTCCTTCTCTAAACCTATCTGTTAAATCGTAACCAATCGGACTACTTATGTCTGCAAATAGTTTGCTTAAAAGCAATTCGAAGCTTTATGTGTTCGAAGGTATTGAATATATGTTTAACAAGCTTAACTTTACTCATAACATATCAGCTTATTAATATAATCAATGTTATCAATACTTATTAGCAAAATGCTAACAATAGCAGACTAACAAGTTGCTCTCACAGTTAAAATCGGTTAAAACAAGTTTCCATTTAAATCACTTGTACGTTTTTAAAATATTCAAAGGTATTCGGCGTCCCAAATAAATTTGTTCTTGTTTTATTTAAAAAGTTAAAACGCAGAAAGCTTTCCTTAATATTGTCAACAACTTGCACCAAGAAAGTGCTCCAGCAAAACTCTTTTTAATAATGTTAAAAATCAAATCTTTATTGGCCATTTTGACAAGAATAGTTCTTTAGTTCTTTCAACTCATATATTGCTTACATTTAATAAAAAAAACTCCATTCATAGCAATTAAGGTGCACATTTTCAATCATTTTCCCCAATATCAGTGTGTCTCTGTGTGTATGCGTATATGCTATTTGTATGTATATTTGGGTGTGTGTGTGTGTGTGGGAATGTGCGCGCGACTTTTATATTAAAACGTAAAAAAATGTGTAATTAAGTTCAGTTTTCAAATTTTGTGTATATATATAGATATATATATATAGTATGTATATATTTATTGATTAAGTTGGATTACTTAAAAGTATTATAAAATTCTTACAGTTCACAATGAAAGCTTAGTTGTTTACACAAAAAAATAGTTATCATTTCATTTTTATCATCCTCCTCCTGCTCCTCCATCATCATCATCATCTCACTTTTGTTTATCCTCTTGTGCTTTTGTTTCCTTGGTGTGGACGACAGAAGCAGTAGTTACTTTTTTAACGCATTTTTAATGCAATGCACACTTTTTTCCTAACTCAAATCATATCAAATATACTACATCAATTGAAAGTTTGCATTTGCAACATGGAAGCCAATGAAAGGGGTTTATACATAAAGCAATTCATATATAGACAGATATATATATATATATATATATAGATATATAAATATATACGTACGTACATAATGTATAACTAAAATGAGCACAATTGAAGTACATTTGTGTCCCAGCTAAATAACTTAAAATAAATTTAAAATTAAAAATAAAACTCACAAATTTAGATTCAACAAATATCCGTAGTTACATAAAAAAAACTTAACTAAATCCAAGTAACTGCTCAACTTAAGCACTTAAAATTAATTCATTTAAATACAGACATTTGACAAAATTGACCAAGTCGTGTCTAAGCACGTATTACACACACATGCCAAATCTTGCATGCCACAATCTGTTATTTAAACCAAAATAGAAAATCTATAAGCATAAAAATTATTAAAATTTAATGACCTGGATCTGTGTGAGTGGTTTTGTGTGGGTGTCTGTGTGTGTGTGTGTTGAAGTGCTGCAATTTGCATGCATTGCTCTTGTCGTTTTGTTGATTCGTTTTTGGCGTTTTCACAAATGCTGCAAGAATAAATAAAATAGTTTTAAATACTGAAATCAAAATATGATGCTTACAACTAGTCGAAACAGGTAACCACATTTAACATTTAGATAAAATACATTTAAATATTCTTCTTTTTTGTTAGAGTTTTGTAGTAAGTTTTGTATAAGTATAACTAGATAAACATACATATAAATATCGCTGACTGTATCTGTGTAAATTCGTATCCGTTCCTCAGTTCAAAATCTTTTCCTAGTCTATCGCAGGCTAATGGATATAGTCGCCTTCTGAAACCAGCTTAGTTCACTCCAAACACAGTATCCCAGTATGAATTTTAAATACATACATAATACATATGCATATGTGTTAAAATCCATTTGACAATAAATTCGATTAGACGATTAACATTCAGTAAAATTGTCGAATAAAATTTGTATAAAATATTTTAAACATTTTTCATTTCATTATTATATCTTGTACTTGTTGATATAGTTATAACAGTTATAGTTTCGTGTGCGTGACCGTGTATGTATGCGTGTGTATATATATTTTTTTATATGTATATATATATTATACAGTAAGATAACAAAGGTAACGATAAATTCTGCTATAAATTTGAAATCACAACCAGAAATCTATTCTTTACTGTATCGAATATATATGCCGGATACCCAACAAATCTGTAAAAATATAACAACTAATAAATTAAATCTATACATACCAAAAATAAAACACATGCCACAATGATGCATTCCAAATGTGTAAAATTACATTTAGGTAAAACAGTTTTATAATTTAATGTCGAAGTGTCCGATTCGTTGTGAATTGTGGGAAGTTTGGTTGGTTACAGTAAACATCTAATGGACGTCGTTAAAAGCAGCAAATTCTTGCAAACATATATAGGATTCTTTTGTTTACGCGATTTAATTATACATTTTCGCATTTTTATATAAATTTTGTTTTTGCATATATATAAAAATGTATGTATGCTTTGAATAGGCTTATAGCCTATTATATACATCAAAGTTCTGCATCGTCTCAAAGTCCGCCATGGGAAAATCATTACCACTAAAATTGAAAGAAATATAAAAGAGTAGAAAAAAAAACAAAAATTAATAAAAAGAATAAAACAATATGCAAACAAGACGCTATTTTAAAATATATTTAGAATGTGTAAAATGATGTTAGTTGTGAATCAAATGAATAATGTATTTTAGTGAAAAGGAATATCTTGCAAAATGTATGTTAAACAAATGGTAATATCAACAATTGTCTGTTGGTGACCCTCATCTCATTTAATAGCCTTAACAACGCATTCAATATGCGTGCCAATTTAGTATTAACAACAATAACATCAATATAATTCGTGACGCTAACAACAATTACGAATAAACATAAAGAGTTTTATATGAAAGAAAAAGTGCATGCAATAAACTGGTATTTTTTTAATTCCAATAAAGACCCAAAAATGTAGCTTATTAAAAGCCATTTTTGCTTATTATAATTGTATTCATTGTTCTTGTGTTGTTCATTTGCGTTTACAAATGCATGATGGTGCTATTCTGCAAGCTGCGATTATATCAAAAGTTAGAATATAGAATTTCATTAGATATCAATTTCAGTGTATACATATACATATACATATATATATATATGTATAAACATATCTCATTTGCGGCTGCTGAAAAGCTTAAAAAGATGGCAATACTTTGAAGTGAGAACATTTAGGATAATACAACGAATAAGAATTATATATATTTGAATATATATAAATGTGAGATCTTAAAATTGAAACTGAGCGAGCGACCTGATAAGGTTGAGAAGTTAGTACAATGGGCAGCGACAGTGGGCATATCAAATGAATGTGACAAGTGTTGCAAGTGGCGAGTGGCGAGTGGCGTGAGTTTATGTTATGCAGAGGCTCGGGAGGGCGGTGCAATGATGTATTTTTTTTTATTTTTTGTTGAGCAGACAAAATGGACGCGCTGTTAAAACCGTGGCTGTTCAACAGACAAATTAACGACATATTTAGTTGCTGAAAATTGCGAAATAAGTTCATAGAACTGTCGTATTTTGCTTGTTTTTTTTTTTTTTTTTTTGTTTTTTTGCTGGGTGATATTGATGCGATTGCGATTTGTACATAAATATATAGATAGATATGTAGGTATCAAACAATACCTTTCGGTAAGAGGCACAACCCAAACTAGCCCTCAATTCGATTTCGTGTTTTAATATTGGACCGTTTGATTATAGGGCGATGGAACGGCATATGCTGATTTAGTGGGCATCATCCACTGTGCTTCATGCCCATTGGCGCACACATTAAATATGGTGTGACTTATCTGACCCAATATGGGATCGTCTGGTGCTGTATTGATGACATAATTCTCGAGCTCACGCGCCACAGAGCTATCATCTGAATCAGAATCATCCCTGTTATAGGATGTGGTTGCGACGCTCGATGGATTATAAAACATGATGCCACTAGGTGGAGAATAACTGGATAGGTACCACAACACAACAAATTAAAAACGATTAAAAGTAGAAAATGAAAATAAACAAAGAGTAGAGTAAGTTACAGAGTTTCTTTTTATCACTACTGCGTAGCACAATTGTTGTTTTTTTTTTTTATTGTTATTAATATTATGTATACTTAATAAACAAAAAGCCGAAAGAAAAATAAAACACAACAAAACAACATAAACAATAGACGCCAACAAATAATATTTTTTATTTAAATGGAACTTTTAAAACGTTTTTGGTACTGCTTTTTTTGGTTTTTTTTTAGTATCCCTCTCGATTTCAAAGTATTGCAATCTAATTAAACTCTTAAAAATTGGGTTTAAACCAAATAAAGCTTAATATAGAAAAGTTAAAATACAGTCGAGACTGCACGGAAACTGAAACCCAGCAAGCCAAATGCGAACTGAGGCTTTTTCTTTGGGTCTTCGGGTACTCAAAACTGAGTAAACAAGATCAACAGAAAAATAAATAAATAAATAATACAAAAAAACAAACATTGGGAAGAGGCGTTCAGAGACGCCTCTTGTTGGTAAGAGGTCGGCCATGCAAAACTTACTTTCCCATCGACATGCTATCCTGCGGCGGTGACTGCATTGGGTGATGGGGCGTGCCACTTATGGAGCCTGTATCCCCAGTGGTACGCACCTGCACGCGTATCGTGCTTGGCACATATCCATCGACACGGGGCGTTGGTTCTGTGCAGATAAAAAAGTCAAATATTAATATGTTGTGTGTGTGACAAAGGATACCCAAGTTGACTTCCTTGACAAAACAATTAGCATTATAATAATATTAACGTATATGTATATGTATGTAACAAAACATTGATCAAATAAATTCCAAGACAAATGAAATTAACTCTTCATTCTAGTTCTTTTGGGACTGCTTATTGTCAGCAAACAAAATCAACTTTTTAGGTACTCCAATCAGAACAATTCTTTTCGAATTTTATGGGCTTGCAGCCGTACCAGTACGCTGTGTATAAAAGTCGCCAAAAGCGAGATCGCGGTCCAACGGTTGTACGTTGATGTCGGTCGGATGCAGACAACGCAGCATTTCCAGATCGCGAATGCGATCGGCCAGATTGAGTATTTGGAAATCGCGTGCAGTCCAAGGTGATAACATTGTCACTGAGCCACATTCATTCACATAGGCAATGGTAACACCACCTAAGCAAAAGGAAAAACGGAAAAGCCATTACCAAGCCGTCTTAACATACTAAATTGTATTTACGAACCCAACTCGCTGTCAGAGAAGCGCAACAAAAAGGTGCCGATGCCAGTCACGGCCCGCAAGAGATCATCGTGTGCCTTTGCCTTGTTGATGAAGCCCGTAATGCGACCGGCTTTCCACATGGATAGCAAATGGTCTTTGGTCAGTTTCATAATGGCAAAGAACCATTCCCAGAAGGTGAACGTGCGATCCGGCAACGGTTCCTTACAAAATTGATTCCAGGAAATATACTCATTGCGCTCGCCGGCAATATTGTCACGCTGCAGCTTCTCGACTGGTTATAATAAAATATTTAATACACTGTCATTTATAAGCTTGCTTTCATAGAACTCACATAGAAACTCCAAATTCTCCGAGGTCAGGGCGCGTTGTGTGCAGGAGCCAAATTTGGTATTGAGTGCTACAGACAGTTGACACCAGGTGACACGATCAGTGACCACAAACGGATCACGAACAATATCTGCGAATGCATTGTCCCAGGTAATGGTGGCCCAAGATTGCGGCTCTTGATTGCCATGGACAATGACCACCACAGGCAGCGACAGTGTCCAGACGCGAATCTGATAATCATTTACTGTTGTGGTGGCATAGAAGAACAATGCAAATTTCTCATCCATGACGCTCTCGGTGCCCTTCTTCTCGGCGCGCTTGATCTTCTTCAGCTGCATATTTCTAAAGCTGGCGGAGAATACATGATTGCTCTCCTGATACTCCATGGTGCTGGAGCAGTTTTGTATCTCGCCCGACGATTGTCCAGCCAGGCTGCTATGGGTCACATCCATGTGTGTGCCACGGGTCACAAAACGCTGAGCCTGCAACTCTGCAAAGCCAATAAGAAAATTTAGAGGAGAAAATTGATAGGTACGTTACCAAGGTGCTTACCTGACATTATAATACACTCGACTGTGGGCGGATTCATTTGTATGCCTAGCTGGGAGCCGAGCAGCCAACGCACTGAGGCCGCAAAGCGTGTATTTGTCTTCATCACCTGCGGCGGCTGTTTATCCACAATAAAAGCGGAGCACACTAAATTCTTTTGTGCCACCTGAACTTGCTCTAGCATACAATTAAGTTCTGGATCATCGTTCATAAGCCGCACACAAATCGTCTCTTTTACAGCGGACAGCAGATGAATGACAAACGATTCCAACATCTCAAAGCAACGTTGTATATCATCCAGCATATTCTCGCTAAAATGTGCCCCATTGCCGGCGAGGGCCTGTTGGCGTCGCCAATTCTTTAGCTCCGTAATGACCATGTCCTGCAGCGACTCATAGTACAAAAAGCTGCGTCGCAGCCTGGCCACGAATGAGTTTTTCTCCTCAATTAAACGCTTGAACAGTGTCTCAGCATCGGGTGAATTGGGCGCGTTCAGCATATATCGATAGCTTTGCACCAAAACTTTGAGACTTTCGGTGCATCTGGAGAATTCATTCAAGCTGTGCATAATCTGATGATGTACCTCGTATAGTTCTACCTTGGGTGTGACCATAGGGCCGCCGGCCGTTGCATTTTCACCCATATTATTCATAATGCCGGTTGACATACCAGCAGCAACTGGGGATGATCCAGCAACGCCTAACAATTCACTAGCATCAACATAACCACCGTTCATGCCAACGACAGCGGCGGCAGCGGCTACTGCATTGTTCATATTATAGGTGTTCAGCGGCATCGATTGGCCCGCGGCGGCAACGGCAACACTCTTCTCGGCGGCTAGCTGCAATTCCTTTTGCAGGCCGCTGCGCAAATGCGTATAAAGCTCAAGTGCCGGTGTGCGTTGGATAAGCGCACAGAGCTCCACCAGGCGATACTTCAGCACCTGATCGCTGGCACGTGTCGATAAAAGTTTTTGCTGCAGATCCTCGATAAACTTGATCGCCACACGTTCTAATTGATTTGTTGAATTTGGCGTTATCTGCTCGGACCTGTGTGTGTATGAGAGAAAGAGAGAGTGAGAGTATTAGAAGAAAATGTTTGAATTGGTCTTAAACGAAGCTCCATTTAGGCGGTTCGGCAGTATTTGGTATTGTTACCCTAACCGCGGAACAGATCTGAGGCACTTACACCCAACTTCATCTTTTTCTTAACATTTTAAAGTGAAAAAGAAAATAGTATCTCTCTTATCGTCGACGAGCGATCTAAAACGTTCAATAACTTGAAATATTTTAGCACTAAGCGATTCTTGAAGCGAACCGTTAGCTAGGAAGTAGAAATTTGAAAGCCTTATTTGTAAATAGAGCCCATACCTATCATTGTGTCTTAGTTTAAATACCTCAGCTTTACCCACTGATCAAGCAAATAACGGCCACTCTGTGGAGACTCGGGACAACTACTCACATTATTCTGTCTTCGATCCAGGGCGCCAAGCAGAGGCGCAGGTCGTACAGACCCTTCTTATTGTAGTAAGCCGCCATGCGCTGCTCGCAGTCGGCATGGCTCGAGATGCGCTTCCACAGACTCATGCTGCTCATATGGTTTATTGGCTTGGATGAATATGTATGGGATGTTAGCGTGAGCGATGCAGCTGTTGCATATGCTGCAACCAGGATGCAATGACAGGGACACTGCTGACAGTATGTGCTTTTTGGCCCAGAGTGTTTGGATATATGATTCTGTGTTTGTTTTATTAATTTTTATTGTCTTATTTTGGTTTATTTTTCATGCAGTTTGGTTTTTTATTGATTTCTTTTTTTTTTAATGCATTTTTGCTTGGCTCTCTGGCTGCTTGGTGGTGACGGCGCCGATGACCTGGCCAAGGTCCAGCTGCTGACTTCCACAAGCGAATTGGAAGTTGGATTCGTCCATAAAATGCACACGCACAAACGGAAGGTTAGATATGAATGCTTATGGATAGAAAAACTATAAAAAAAATATATATATACATAAGCATATAAGTGGCAAGGATTATATGAGGGGAAAATTATATGTACATATAGATGTATGTGTGTGTGTGAATGTGTGTATCGATTTTTGTGTGAGTGTGTTTGTTAAAAATGCGAGTCCCTTATTCAAATTGTCTACACAAAGCCAAAATGACTGAATAGAGCTCTAGCTTGTTGACCACATGAGACATACACAAATAGAAATGAATTTAATTACCAAGCATTAAGCTAAATCGAAAACCATCTCTGATATTTTACATTAAATTGCACATGAAATTCACAATGCAGAAAATTAACTTATTTATGCTTGAATTATCTTTAACTATCTTTATTTATACAATAAGTTTGAAGTCAAAATGACAGTTTCAAAACTGGTGCATCGCAAGTTAAAAACATTTTAAATTGGGGATTTTCAAGTTTTAAATGTCACTCATTGAATATGCAACGATGCAGCTCATCTAACAATGGGGGTAGGCGGGATGTAAACGTAGGTAAATATATAACCCCCTACATAAGAAAACATATATAATATTTATAAACATAAAACGTATATGCAAACAATGCTGACGTATATTGTGCCCAGCTGTAATAGAGCGCGCCACAAGAGGCGCCATTGTGTGTGCGTTTGAGCCTGGTGTGTGGTTTATTGTAGGGGGCTTCGAGTGGAGGGATGCGATAGAGCCATGTGCTAACAAAACACAACTTTAATTACCATAACATAATGGCAAAAGGCAAACAAAGCAACAGAAACTCGCACGGCAGTGAGAAAATAAATAAATAAACAGAACTCGACCAGAAAGCAAGCAAATATCCGACGCACCCTTATGATATGGTGGCCAGATGGACTCCGGGACAGTTGGACAGGTGTAAAAATTAATTGCGCGTTGCAAATACAAGTTTTAACAGTCATTTAGAAATGATCATTTGCGATTATCAGTTCATTCCCGTTTCGTCGTGTGGGGGACACCAAAACGTGATCGGCGGAGAAACAAACAGTAGACGAGAACAACAAACAACAACAACAAGAACCCAAACAACAAGAACCCAAACAACAAGCCCCCGGTAAACCGAAGACCCCAACAAAAGCAACTCATGGCGAGACATTTGTTTGCTTTTGTGGTCGATACGCTAATTTTCGTAGTTCTCTAGAAAAAAGGGACAACGCGAACGCAGCGCACGTAGCAAACATGAATGGCCCGAGAAATGGCCAAACAAGCCAAACCAGTCTGACCAGGCTCAAAAAGAGAGCAGCCCGACGCAGTAACTAAAATTAGATAAAAATCAAAATACACACACAGACACTTATACAAGAAAACAAAAAGACACAATGAAATGCGGCAGGCTGTAGAGATGAGAGCTGACCGTGTCACGATCCAAGATTTAAGGGAAAGCATTTGATACCTGACGTCCAAACTCGCAGTAAACTATTTACATATATCTAATAAAAGAAAAAAAATAATAATATAAAACGATTCTAATTTTCAGATGTAACATTTTTTAAACAATCCCCATCTGGCTGTCTAATATAAGTTGTGTAATTATGATCGAAGTTAATTGGATACAGTTGACACTTCTCCTTTTATGGGTTTCATAACTAACGAAATTTAAAATGGATGAAAATGTAATGAAATTGTGATGCTTAACAAGTCTAACAAAAGAAACGTCTGTGTTTAAAACCTAAAAAAAACTTTTCTTTTTTTCCTCATCTCAAAACGAAGAAATTCAAAGTCTAGTCTATCGATAAAATTTCTGGATGATTATAATTTACAAGAAAGTTATGATTTCCGTGTTTGCACTCTCATAACCGGACACGCTCCCATCCCTATGCAGAGAGCGGTCGGAAACGACTTTTATTAAGCCCGAAAAAAAACAAAAGGACCTTTTTTTCTTTTTCTTCTCGAAACTAAGCATTTTCAAATCTAATCTGTTGATTTTGATATTTGGATATTTATAATTCCAGAAAGTTATGATTTTCCATGCTTGGCCGCGCTCATTTTCCAGACACGCTCCCATCCCTATCCAAAGAGGGGTCTAGCAAAAGGAACAACAGCCCAAAAACAGGTCAAGCCCGTGGCCTGTGTTACCTGTTGCAGACCAAAAACCTATCGGATGTGCGGCTCACTAACGAATTTACGGAGCCGGACAACTCCGCGGCGTAGGTAGCCCAACAGATAGATTGTGCAGGTTTTTGAACGATTCATGATTTGTTGTATTTGTTGGGTTACCCAGGCTGCCCTTTAACCAAGTGGTTAGTAGTTCAAGGCTGCTGCCGCTGCTCCACAATGCAAAACTCAGTGGAAATTGTTGTTTGTTTTCGCTGTACATAAATTTGGCACCATTTCTAGCAAAATGGCTGAAGCGCCTGTGACCTTGAACGAGACGCCCATGCAAATTGTAATATACGCATATGTATATTCCCTGGATTGGATAATGAGATAGCTAGAGAGAGAGAGAGAGAGAGAGAGAGAGAGAGAGAGAGAGATAGAGAGATAGAGAGAGAGATAGAGAGATAGAGAGAGAGAGAGAGAAAGAGAGAGAGGGAGAGAGGGTGGCAGAGGGAGAGAAAGCAACCACCCACCCACGCAACAAAAGGAAGAAACAGCGGCGGCATCTATCATTGTTTGTTTGCTCGATTGTTTATTCCATCGACGCGTTCTGTTTGGATGCGAACTTCACCTGCGTCACCTGAGATAAGCAGCGGCATATTCGCAGCTGACGTGTGTTTATAAATATCAATGCAGCGCTGTCGCCAGACAATTATTAAGAATTAAATGTATATATCTATAATTTATGCGTGAGTATAGAATGACAACGGCTGTGTATACCTACGAATCAATTTGTTTCAAACAATTGGAAATGTGCAAACAATTTAAACCAGAAAAGCAACGCGACTAAACTGCTTTCGAAACAAGAGCCCTGCTTTTATACAAATACACAGTCGATAAGTGTACGTAATATTTGGCAAAATGCAACTCAAGAGTTTTGATATGGTTAAATTTTTAAATAAAGCAACAACAAAATAAAGTATATTTACTACGAATTGCAAATTAGTCGGAAAATACCCTAGACAATACGCGCGTTCGCCCACTCGTGATAAGAGGCCAAGCAAAAAAGGTAAAAATAAACGTCGTAGGACCTATGAATCAATTGCCCTGAAAGATTTAGTCGATACGATAAGCTGCTTAACAGCTGGCTCTGCGGACGGGCTGGAGCTTATCAATCGAATTGTCAGAAATCATTTAGATAAGTACACAATTGTGAACTAGTTTTGGGAAAACTTGTTCAAATATTTTGATTGCTGCTGTTTCCATGAAAACGTCGAACATGAAAATTATGCAAATTCATATTTTGGTAAAATTAAATGGATGAAAACAAAAGCCACACACACAAAAAGCACAACCAAGGTAGTAGGCCAATGTTTAAAGCGTATAATTAACACAAGCAAAAGGCTGCTGCAAATTATAATTAAATGTGCATACTAATATAATACATGTGTATTTATTATTGTATATGTACCTATACTTTTGCCATGTTCTTTGATAAAACCGCTTTTAGCATTCGACCTATAAATGTGTATGCAAAGAACGAGCCAAGCGTGCGACTTAAAAACCCACAAAATAAAAAATTGTGCCGCTTTTTGTTGTTTACCTGCAATAAAAATATAAATTTAAAAAAAGCTGAGCGAAACGCAGAAACAAAGTTGCCAAAAATAGAGAGGGGAAGCATGAGACACAACACATTGCCGATAAAACGAAGCCAATAAAATGGAAAACAAACTATAATCTCAGAGATCCAACGAATACAATATACTCTCGATTGGAGAGGTAAACGAACATAAACGAAACATAATTGATCGAACTGTGGGAGTATGTAACTTAACAGTAAACAGTTGAGCTGTTAATATAACATATGTAAGCAACAGCAAATGTTATTGTGCAGCTGCTCAAAATGTGAAAAGGTTATGTGTTAAAAATGTATTGTGAAAATGAGCGAAAGTGTTTGTTGACTCAAATCCCAATAGATTTAACGTCACCCATTACTTTAATGCGATTGATCTAGTTATATTCTGATAAAAAAAAAATTGTACAATTTTATAAACAGTTCATAACAAAGCTGGGAAAGGGTATTTTATAAAAATAAAATAAAATACAGTCTCTATAACCGGTCGTATTAGGGAAACGGCGACTGCAAAATGGTCGATAGCGGCATATCATATGTCAATAGAACATATATTTTTTTATACGCGTGTGTGGGGCAAGAGGCGGACCGCGACGAGGCAAAGCCCCATCGGGGGGTCCAAGTGCAACACAGCGCAGTAGCATTAAACAAATAAGAGGGGAATATATTTATAAAGCGAAACGTTCATAAAGTATAAGTTACGCGTACGTAACCATTGCCCAGGCAACTGAATAAAGTCTTTAACGAAACAAAATGTTGTCTTGAATGGGTTAAAAACGTGTCTACGCTCTGTTTTTCATGCAAGGCAACGAATACATAAATTTGATAAAATTTCTCAACAACCGAGAAACTTGAATCTTCAATGTGCCCAAAAGATTAGCATTTGACGTACGTATTTAAAATCAGTTCCAAGGAATTAACAGTTCCTCTCATTTACGTAAATTATAAAATTCTTTTAGCCGACGCAATGGGTAAATATCAGCATTAACATTCAAATCGGTATTACTTCAGCTATGTAATCAAAAATATTTATTAACTTGCTAGGTCAATAAAATTTATTATGTATATTTATATTATTTCGCGGCCTTGGCCGTGCCAAAAGTTTTTCTACAAATATTTCGCTAACTTTTCGCTGGAAAAGCGTGTCTATTAATTTTGTAACATAATTTTAATGCAAGCTAAAGAAAAACGAAATTTGGTAAACTTGATCCCGCATTTTCCGGGAAGAAGTCATATTTAGTTCGTAATCATAGTCAAGTTAAATATATTTTGGAATATATAATATTTATGCACTATGCA